TCGATTTGCTTTTGAAGCCACTTTGGAAAATGTTCTGAGGCTTTTGACTTGCATGGATTAATTAGTCTTCTCCATACATATGTCACCAAACAACATTTAAGTTAGTAGGTGCAATGGGATATGACGATGTGTACCTATCAGCGGATAAACGCATTTCATATTCTCGAATTGTCACGCAACTTGCTAAGAAAGCCCTGTACCTCTTCAGCACTTCCTCTCAATAGGAATATGACCTGGATAATATAATTAGACTGAACAGCTTCCTGTGATTTGATAATTCCCCATCGTCATATGATTACTGAATTGCATTACTTTATAACTGCGCTGCTAACATCTCTATACAAACTTTAACGTTCTCCATTTCCTTAATCCCTGCCACCAAAATGGCAGCATTGATAACCTACGACCGCACTTAAACCGATATTCTAAATCCGTCAATATCTCATACTTATTTCCAACCGTACGATAAGCCTCACTAGGTAAAACTCTAGAATCCCATGCTACATCACAGAAATCAGAAAGTCAGGTCTAAGTTCATTGGTAAGCGATCATTGGTTGCTTTATAACCTAAATCCTTACTCTTGATCAACTGCTTTTAATTATCTAATCACAGTGCTTCGAGTTTAGGTTTCTGTATATACGTAAGCCCTATTTTATTAGAGAATATTATGTGAGAAAACATCCATTTTTTAATCTTCCTGACAACTACTCGCTGAGTTCCAGCGATAGTCATAAATTCAGTGCAGTTAATAATCTTATCTCATAAATACATTTTCCTCGACCTCATTACATTGTCTCACTTTGTTCTGTTAATTAATCAGGGTTTATTAAAAGCCCTAATCAAATAATATTATTTTCATAACATACGTGATGCAGGTCTATGTCCGAAACACTCGATTTTATACCAACTAGTTAGGGGTTTGAATCTTACCTCGACTACAGATATTCTGGCAGCCAACCAGTATGATTAGTCCAAAGGTAATAGGTATGGCTTATTGCATTTTCTATGCCTTTTTTCTGAGACGTTAATATAAAACCCAAATATGATTATTCAAGAACAAATAACTGACCTTAGAGCACTGAACAACCCTGCAAGCTCCGAGTAAAACCAGGAGCAAATGCAACTCAAGTGTAGACTGAGATAACGTCTACGCAATCACTACGAACAGTGGTGGGCAGCAAAGAATAGAGATAGGAAGGGCAGTTGAGATAGGTAATAGTAGACAGTTCTTTGGACTCAGTAAGGGGACTGAGGCGGAAAGGTCAGTGGTTAGTCAGAAAATGAAGAAGGATGAGTCTGTGATTCACTTGCAAAGGAGACAACTAGAACCATGAGCGGAACACTTCCAACGACAGTTCAACTGGCCTCCAGCTGTTATCCCATTGTTCGTTATTCGTTTGAAGCCGAAATGGAACATCAGTATAGGTCCCCCCAACACTTACAGAAGTCGAGAAAATGGCTGGTCACCTAACAGGGTTAAACGGACTTACTTCAGAGGTACTTAAGGACGGTGGTCGACGATTTTCAGTCAAATTAACTGAAGTGTTATCTAGTGTGTGAGAGTCAGACATGATTCGTTCTGACTGATCTAGATTACTGATTATCCAAGTCTTCATCATCATCATCATCATTATCAACATAGGACCAGGCATTACTGCGTAACGGTCCGAGTTGCCACACCTATCCAAGTCTTCAAGAAAGACGAGAAGTCCTCTTGTGAAAACTACAGGGGAATCAGCCTGAAGAAAAGTGTCTAGAATTCTAGGTTCTATAATCATTAGACATCTGAGTGGAGCTCGGGAACAGCAAGTCTGAGAAAGCAGAACAGGCTTCAGACCTGGTTGTGAGTGTATCCACCAAATATCCACATTCCACCATGTTCTGGAACACAGACGCAGTTACCGGAACCCGAGCTGAAGGTCTCGTTCGACTCCGTCGATCACAGTCATATGGCACTATCTCTCACTGAAACAGGTGCCGAAGAAGTAAATCACTCTGTTGAAGGTTCTTTACTCAAACACCCGTGGCCGTGTGAGGGCCTATGGTGAGTTGCATGCGTCAGGTGGGATCCATCAAGGATGTTCACTCTCCTCCTCCTTATTTAACTTTACCATAGACTTACGCATGGAAGTCTCCCCCTCGTCGTCTGATCGTACAAGGTTTTACCTCACCGTAGGAAAATCCTAAGAATACCTAGAGTACGCAGATGACACAGGCTAGGGTGCGTTTCCGCCACCCAAATAGGAATTGATGTTGCAGCACTGACTTTCAGTAATACCACGTTTAACAATAAAAAATGAAATGGTTGAGCACGTTGAACACTTCACTTACCTAGAAAGTCGGATCAGCCCTGTTGGCTCAATAGCCAACGAAGTCTCTGCACAGATGCGAAAGGCTTGACTGACCCTTGCTAACTTGCGCTATTTATGGCCCCGCCACGATATCCAGTTGTCTATTAAGGGTCGAGTGTACTTTTCTGTACTCTGTTCTACTGCATGGCTGTAAAACATGGCCATTAAAGATAGCGGACATGAGAAAGCTTCATTTGTTCGACTATCGTTGCCTTCTTAGTATAGACCGTGTGTCATGGTGTCACACACCAGCAACGCAGAAGTCAGATGTAGAGTTTTAGGGGGAAGAGGAAAGTCAGTCAATGTGGTTGTGAATCTCCATCGACTGAGGTATCTGCGACATGTAATACACATGCCTATTCATCGTCTGGCTCGTCACACAATGTTAGCTGAAGCAGGTTTAGGCTGGTAAAAGTGTCAAGGGCGGTTAGACTAAAACATGGCTTTAGTCTTTGAGGTCTCTATTGGTCTGAGCCGTGTAGAAAAATACAGACTTCCCATTTTTGATTCGCATGACAACACGAACCAGTGGTTGGAGACTCTAGGTGATATGACTCAGAACTGATATCAGTGTCATGGATGTATCCACACAACCTTATTCGCTATACTGAACTCAGTGTTTTCTTGTCTCTTTTCACGACTTCCTACCACGTTTGACTACTTTCTTCTCTATTTCTTCATCTTTTATCTCAGTCCTTTCTCATTCGATATGCTGATATGGGGTGTGGCAACTTGGACCATTACGTAGTAATGGCTGGTCGTATGTTGATCATAACTGGTTATCTAGGAATTTAATCGGAAGCTCCCACAATCTGACAGTAACAGTGTGACAGCGTGATTACATTGATATGATTATGAGCAATAGTTTATGCTCGAAACGTCGTCAAGTAAATAATACCAGATCACTATGTGTTATAAATCAAATAAACAAATCTAATATGGAATTAATTTCTACCACAGTGCCCAAGTTTTACACCTATACAGATAGGTAAAATCAACACAGAACCCCGCATATAAGTCCATCGGTTCAAATTGCCACACTTCATAGTGGTATACAAAACAGAGATAAATAGAATACCAGTGATATCAAAGTAGAAAAAGTTGTGAGAATAAACAACTAGTCCAAATATTGAAGCCTTAGAAGATGCCTAGGAGTGAATATATCTGCGCCAGTGTGACCAATTCTCAGTCGTTTCATCGACAGTCCTCAACCACTGATTTCTATCGTCTCCAGGACCCCAGGCACGGCACGGCACGGCACGGACCAACAGTTAGCGACTTCGACTGGGGCCAAGTGTTGGTCTGGCCAACCTAATCCAAATCGCCCTAGCATGGAACGTCAAAGTAGGCGGTGGCTAGGCATGGGCAGCATACGTCTAAATCTGACTGATATTTACAGCATACCCTCTTAGATCAATGATGTGATCATGAGGACTACCGAAGTGAACATTCATCCAGATCCAACACAGTGACAAGGTTTTTAATACTAAACTCTACATACCACTTAGTAATAATGAGTCAAAGGTATATTTCTAAAAGTGTATAAACAGTCAATTCACCATGGAACGGATTAATTTTTATTACAAACTGACAGTAGGTAGAGAATCGTCGGCAACCAAAAAGCACATCTTCCTTACAAAAAGCGGTCAGTAAGGCTAAACGCCCTCCCCTTATCCTATACTAAGAAAAGATGTGACTTGGTTTTAACCTTTCGCATTCTGAATAATAACTTAAGTATTTTTTTACTCCCTCTAGTACGGATTAACTTCTCAAAGAGTGCACGAAACTGTTTACAAACCATTTGAATTAAAAATGATGTTTCGTTTTTATTTTCTACACATTTTTTACATTTTTTCTGATAATTGTAAAACTACCAAAGTTGGAATTTTGGTAGTGGTGGTATCAGCTTAGTTCTGTTTTTAAACATGGAAATTTAGTGTGCTTTTATCTATCCAGTTCAATCTTCTGGAATGTTGAGGAGTCATCAGACAAAGATGCTTCGATATGTCACGGCTATGACCTGCAACTAGTCGAGTCGGCCGTCAGACGTATTCTGCCTGAAAAGTCTAAGGGGGTACACATCTCTAAAGTAGTTCGACTAGGCAAGAAAACGGACGAAAAACCTGATGAAAAGAGAATTTCAAAGGTTGTTTCAGGCAACAAGGATGAAGTGGATGTACTCTTGAGTAACGCATCCAAACTACGAAATTCGGATATCCGCACCCAACCTGACTGGCCCCTCGAAGATTGCATAAAAAGAAGAGAAGCTGTTGATGAACTTAAGGCTCGACAATCTAATGGAAAAACGACCTTAAAATAGTGGGTTTTCGGCCTGTGAGGCCTTGGAAGCATTCGCTATTCCCAGTAATTTCACATACTTAAGGAAGGGATGTCCGGTTTAGTGGTTGGTTAAGTTCTTGTTTGTTACTGTTGCTAAAAAACTATTTAAAACTTTGTGAGAGAGCCAAAGTCAGCAGACTGATTAATGATTCATGCGATGATAGTTAAAAATTTAATTTCTCATAAGTGCCAAGTTCGACTAAAACTCGGAGGCCTTTCGCATAAATTTAGATTTTTACTCTTTTTCGCTGATAATCGTAATCAAGCTACCTTTATAGAAACCACCCAAAAGGCAATCCACGACTTACTAATAAACGGTGGATTGTAACGTAAAGAAGAGAACACAGCGGTGCATCGAATATACAATGGTTCACTATTCTTTGAGCGAACCAGACAGTCTTTTGAACTTAACATCTAGATCTTTAGGATGGGTTCTTTTACTAGGCTGTTCTTCCAAGGACCTCCGAAGCCCTTTTTCGATATTCTGCGTCTAGCGTTTGTCGATGGGACTGTCACTATGGTGTTTCGTTTTTAATTTGTAGTCTAAAAGTGTTAAGAAACCAAAAATCTAATGGAGTGGCAGTTACTCATCGTAAAATCCTCAACTGAGAAGGACCCCAAATTGTTCAGAGGTCAAAGTAGGGAATTTGATAGTGTCATTGCAAAGAAAAGGAAGACATCTATTCTTAACGATGGAAAGCTAATACTCAGAAAATGGTGGGATAATTTTGCCTTATGGTTAAGACGAGCTGGCTAAGTAGGGGACACTTTTCTTGGCTAGTAGCAAGCCATGCGTGCCAAGGTGTCTGCATAAAAATCTTGGAGGTTATCGCTTCTCCATGTGATACAACATTCTCTGACGTTCATGCTCTTAGTAAGATGAATTAGCTCTTACTCCCGACGTTAACATTTTAGTGCCTAAGTAGTCGGCACAAGCAGACTTGGCAGATAAGAATCAGTGGTTATCACTCACAAAATAGAGGGACTGTAGTGTCGCACACTTCCCCAAAATCAATAGCCCGGGGTTTGACTACTTTCGATATCGATGCTGACCTTTATAGTTTAACTGGACTCGCTAAGCTGAAGGCACCCGATCAAGCTTCCTCGCCATTTGGCACGCTCTCTTGTTACGTTGGACTGCTCGTATTCGACTCTCTAGCCAGCTAGTTGGAACGCATCGGTATCTTAGCACAACCATCCAGATACACTATTCCATCTGACTACGCCATTGCATTCTTCCTTGGTCTCGTACTCGTGGGTATATTAACAAGTCCGAATAATTAGTGATTGGTCTTTGCGTCTGTCAAGTTCGCGCAAGGACAAATCCTAAAGGACTAAGAAGGCGCATTTGGTAGCAAGGCGCGGCTCTTGAAGTAACTGGTTAGATGGTCTTCAGTGAGACGCACAACACAAAGTGAAGCTGTGTTGAATGCCATAGATGCCTGGCTACCCTCTTTCAGACCCTTTTCAATCAAGAATGCCGGCTGAATTTCGCAGAGAAGTGGGCTTATAATTTTGTGAATTTGTTGGCAAATGATTCCCTAAAACCGGTAGCCTGAGATTTAATGACGTTCAACACTGATTCCGACTGATAGTTTTAGGGGACCATTCGAGCTGAATGTGTCCCGTCCAGCATCTACGCATTTAAGCATACCATCATGTTGTGTTGCACTGCTCGTAAGGAATGCTGCAGCCAATTACCCAAAACTTATCAGTATTTTAGTAAAGTTCGTCAAATACACCATTCCTGCATGGCTACTCTACCGTGTTCTCTCTTTGTCTGTCACCCATTGGCGTTATACAGAACCGATGATTTTCCCTCTGCCAAGCTCATTCCAGGTCAATTCCTAAACATTTCACTTTGATTCCGTTTCGTGGCTAGTTTGTTTCCCTCATAGTCGGTCCTCATTCTTTGTGTGACTGCTAATTGTTTTCTAGGCTAGGCCTGTTCTGACAGTGCGCAATATACCTCATTTCTGAGTACTATTTTCAGGACGAAGGCGGATAGGCTTAGTGGGAAACAGTTTCTCAAAACCTGGCGGCGAAATCTGTCTATTCGGACGTTACTCCTGATGGGTATCCTTTGGGGGTTCTCAGAAATTCAGTAGGTAGACTGGCCTGTCTCATTGTAAACAAACAATCAAGCTCACATACCACTCAGCATGTCGACATGGTGCGCAGCGCTGACGGTTTGTTATCCCTCATATCTTTGATTCAAGTACGCCGGTGTGGAATGTGTGCACCTCTTCCCTGGTTATCGGACTGTATTGTCTCGGAAACCCACACTTCGGTAGGCGACAAGCTCAGCTAGCAAGTGGTTTTCCTGCATTTCGACAGTCTATTTTTTGAACATAGCACAGCGAAGCAGTGTCATTTACTACAGACTGCCAGACCGGAACGATCCATCAAAAGCGCGCCAAGGCAGCCATATAACCTTCTAGCTTCGTTTTCATGGTTCCACTGTCTTACATTCTTTGACTAAGTCAGTCATGAAACGTTCCACTTACCGGGGAATCACTCTCACGTCACCTTCACCACTTAAGTCATGCATCGATCCGATAAAAATAAAATTCAGTCATCAGTCATTCTGAACGCCTACGCACGTCATTGTCCGCAACTGTCGCTCTATCCCAGCGGAAAATGTGGTTGTGAGTGGCAACATCCACAGGTATGTCCAATCTCATTTCCAGATATTTAAACCTGGATGCGGACTGTCATCTAATACCTAGCAAAGATTCTATGCTTCATAAGCCAGATGGACAGTGATAAGCTAAATAAACCGATATATTCGACATCATTCAATGCAAGAGACTAGACAAACTCGAGCTCCACTTCGGTGAAGAAAAGACATGAGAGCGTTGACGGGAGAGGATATCGAATAGCGCACGTCCAGCAATGCAAGATGATATAGTCCAAAAGCATGCTGATGACCTCGATATGACCCCCACAACAGTTGTAAAATAATAGAAAGGTATGAATAAGCTAATACACAAATTACACGTACATCCATGGTAGGTGGTCTCGATCCCCTTCTATCCTACCACCAGAAGATATAAGTGCTGCATGTTTGAATAAGGCAACAGTCCGGTAGAATAAGCATTCCAAAATCTACAAGTTCGGCAAGTGGAGGTATTGTCTTCGCACTAACAAAAGTGACAGGGCCCGTATTCGGACTTTACATGTATTACCTGAGGAAAAATAAGGTTTGAAGTTAACACTCCTATTGTAACACCTTGCGCTTTGCTTAGGACAATGATGGAAAGTTCATGAGGCGATACATACAAGTTGTTCATTTACTGAACTTCATTGACGGTTCCAGAACGGTATAATTCGTATGTGCTGACGCCATTTCACACCTACGGTTCATAATCTTGCTGAATATTTCGACTGAAAGCTAAATATCTGCGTTTTTCAACCTCAGCATCCAGAGAGATTGGTTTTGTTTTAAGGCATCATATGGACTTCCAGAACATACTGTCCGCCATTTTCACGGGACGTGACAACTTCGTGGTCGGCAAGTGTTGAACTTTCCTGGTCGTTTTCATGATCAGTATACCCGAGGATTTGATAATTGTCAAGTTGCAGTCCAGTGAACGTTCTTCGTTTCTGTATTGTGTACGCATTAACATTGGACGATAGGGAAAAAGCCGAAACCATGGCTGTATACTTTGCTGAGATCTTCACGCAGGAGTCTTCCGCAAACATTTATGCGACAGTAGAGGAATTGATATCCAACGGAGTAAACTCTGCGGACGTCGATCGTAGTGATTTTGGACACTGAGTACTTTCGATGTAGAAAAACCAACGGGACCGGATAAGCTGCACCCAGGGCTGCTCAGAAGGCCTGCACTCTATGTAGCTGTTCCATCAACCACTATATTCAAACCGTCTCTCAGTGAACGTACACTTCCCCGTGACTGGAAGGATGCCATAGTAACACCTATCCACAGGGCAGGTTCTAGGCAGCTACCATCAAATTACAGACCGATAAGTTTGACTAGTACTGTAGTGAGAGTCCTAGAAAGAATAATCAATAAAACCACCTAGAGATTAACGCTCTATTGTCTCGTCCACGGAACGGTTTTCGTAGGAATTCTTCTTGCTTGACCAACCTTCTTACGGCTAGAGAAAGCTGGGCCAAGTCTAGAGCTGGTAGGATATCTGCAGATGTCATTTCCACTGAATTTAGTGGGGCGTTACACAAAGTACTCCATTCCAGTCGCTCGGGAAACTGGGAAGTTTTGGAATCACCGGCAGTCTGCTCGCATGGATGAGAGACTTTCTTGTTGGTAGGAGACAGAGGATTAGGATCAATTCTCAACTCTCCACTTGGAAGTTGGTGGAGAGTGGAGTGCCGCAAGTCACAGTCCTGGGCCCCCTACCATTTCGTCTATGCGTAAATGAACTGTCGAACATGGCGAAATCCCCCACGGTTCTCTCCGCCGATGATGTAAGAATCTGGCGGGAAATTAAGAACGATGAGGCTACATGTGCGCTTTAGGCAGACCTGAGCAGCTTGCTCGCCTGGTCAGGGAAGTGGCTGATGCCTATCACTGCAGGCGAATATGTGGGCACGCACTTGGGGCACACACACACAGCAACATCTGCGATATTGATGGGACCCCTCTACCATCGGTACTGACCCACAATGACCTGGGAGTCACAGCGAAATGTGACTTGAAAGCCACGACTCACTGTCGATCGGTAGCAGCCCGGACTTTTAGGACTCTTTGGGCATTGCGTAGAACGTTTGCGAAACCAAGTGGTGGCATGCTCACCATCCTATGCACATCCCTAGTTACGTCTAAACTGGAAACCTGCACACAGGTGGCTAGTCCTTGTCTGAGAGGCCACTCAGATCTCCTGGAAAGAGTTCAGAGGTCAGCCACTCGTGTGATTCCCGCGATGGCTGACCTCACCTATGAAGACCGACTTAAGGAGCTGAACGTTTTCCCTATGTTCTACCGCGGACAGAGGAAAGATCTAATCGTGCTACACAGGATTTTAAAAAGCGACTTCGAACCTGACTTATCTTATCTCTACCCACCCACTAGTTCGGAACACCCCAGAGGACGTAGTAGGAGACTAAAAAAGCGAGGAACGAACACAGTTTCCGCAGTGTACTGGTTCTCGCATCGGGTGATCGGCACCTGGAACCGACTCCATCAATTGACTCGTTCAAAAGGGGATTGAACGAACACAGCGGTCTACAGGAAAACGACTAATATGGGCTCCAGGCCTCCTATTCTCAAACGGCAAATCTGAATCTGAGTCTGAGAATTTACGAGAGTCTCCTCTACCTTTCGTGTGAAGGGCCGGTGCAAGTGTGGCGGATGTCTCATCAGACATTGGGGGGCCTAGTATATGGAATGTCATGGAGGATAGTGTTGGAGCCCTCATTAAGCCGGATGGGT